TGTGTGTGTGTGTGTGTGTGTGTGTGTGTGTGTGTGTGTGTGTGTGTGTGTGTGTTGCTAACCGTCAGCATTTCCTCAGTTTTTCTCAAAGTGTCTTTCATCTCTTTGAACTGGAACTGAAGGAAACTGTGAGACTGACGCTCGCGCTCCAACTCCTACGAAACACACATTGTGTTAAAAAAACACACAACAACAACACTACTACAGCGCCACCAACAAACATAAAACAATTGAATTTCAGACTGTTATTTTATTTTGAAGGTTACGTGTGTGTGACCTCTGACCTTTGTGGTGTCGCCACAGTGTTGTCGAGCCTCCCACAGCTGCTCCTCCATGTCGCTCAGCTCCTCCTTCAGAGTCTCCACCTGATACATCAGACACGACTTCTCGTTGTGAAGCTGAGCGTTAGAAACCATCGCTCTGCGGTAACGCTCCTCGGCCTCGGCCAGAGAGTCCTGATAATCAATGTGATTTATTATTATACTGTCAGTGATTATTATTTTATTGTAATCATCTGAGGAGTTCCGCAGGGTTCGATACTGGGTAAGACTGGCTCCACTGTTTTTCTCATTATACACAAATATATTTATTTGAATTATATACTTGTTGTTATGAAGCACCTTGATTTCTCTGATGGACGCTTCCGTCTCCACAGAGAACGATGTGTCACAGCTTCCTCTTCGCGATGAAGCTCCGCCCAGAGAGGCGAGCGTGGAGGCCGACAGCGTCAAAGCTGTCCTGGAACCCTGGGAGGAAGAGGAGGAGCAACGTCTTCATCACATGAGCCTTTCAACCAACTCATACAGGTTTGAATTAATAATTAAATTAAACTAAACTAGAGAAACACAGTGAAATATTTTCTTCCATAATTGACTGATGTTTTCATATTTTATTAGTTTTCAATGTGAGTTTGAAACAAACACCAACAAATAAAATGGAACAAACTTTGTCCAGAAAGTCTCTGTCCGGTTTCTCCTCCACCTTGGACACGGAGACAACATGAATCATGTTACCATGGAGACACTGCTGACAGACTCACACTCTGTAAACTTAATTAGGATGGACAGAGGGGACACGGTGAGACAGAACTCACCACTGGACTCGCTCGAGCTGAACTCGTCCTGGACGAGGCTCGAGAGGCGGAGCCTAGAAACATGCCGTGCTCCGATGGCTGTGGGGTGAGGCAGGTGAGGAGGAAGAGCAGGATGGGGAGGGTGAGGAGGAAGAGCAGGGTGGGGAGGGTGAGGAGGAAGAGCAGGGTGGGGAGGGTGAGGAGGAAGAGCAGGGTGGGGAGGGTGAGGAGGAAGAGCAGGGTGGGGAGGAAGGATGAGAGGAAGAAGAGCAGGGTGGGGAGGGTGAGGAGGAAGAGCA